CTACTGAAGCTAGCCTTTCTGAAGCTAGCCCTACTGAAGCTAATGCTGATGCAGCTGGCCAGGTGTATTCAGGTGTATTCAGGTGTGTTCAGGTGTGTTCAGGTGTGTTCAGGTGTGTCCGGCTCCCACCTGGTTGACAGCAGGAGGAACTCTGCACAGAGCCAGGAGCCTCTCCAGCTGCAGGATGTTGAAGTTGGACACGCCGATGCTCTTCACCTTCCCTGAAGCCTGCAGGGCCTCCATCCCCTGAAGCGCAGCAGCAGATTTGAGTGTTTGGGTGCGTTAGCAGCCAGGTTTCTGACTGTTTCACGCATTCTTCTGAAGGATTTGTATAGTTTTGGTGCGTTCATATCCAGGTTTTCAGTATTTTAATGCCTTTATTTAATCTACGTGTTCTCACCCTCCAGACATCCACGTAGTCGATGTCCGTGGTCAACATCACTCCGTCCTTCATCGGGAAACGCTCGTCTCCCATTTTCTGCACAGACATTACAGGTACAAACATCACGTGATCTGTGGAGGTTATCTGAACATGGAGACCCAGAAGTGGTTCTGTTCAGCTACACAAATATTACACTGATGAAGCGTTTGTACTGAAAGACCTGAAGGTTCAGCTGCTCTTAGTGTGTTGCTTGTGGAGCCTGCAGGTATCAGGTCGGATCATCTTCTCACCTGGACGTCCTCGATGGCCCGACTCCACACACACCGTAATGTAAAACATGTTTTGTGTTTTAAGGCTTTGTTTCTGTGTTTTGGATGTTTTCTTGCATTTCTATCCCGGGTTTTGACTGCTTCATGTGGTAATATCCATTCTTTGTGGTTTTGGTGAGTAAATATCCTGGTTTTTGATATTTTAATGTAGTATTCAGATTTTTGGTGTTTTGGTGCATTAATATCCAGGATTTTGACCTTTTAATGTGTTATTATCTGTTTTTTGTGGTTTTTGCTGAGTGAGTTTTTAGATTTTTTATTCATTAATATCCAGTTGGCTAACATGAATATTGATATAATATGCATTAAAATCCAATCGTGTGGTTTTTGGTGAGTAAAGACGAAAGGTTCTGATGTATGAACACGTTCATGTTCAGGGTTCTGATGCAGTCATTTTCTCTGTTTTGTGGAATATCGAGTTTCTTCATATTTTGTTGCATCATTATCTGGGTTTTTTAATTTTTGGTGTCTTCAGAATCCGGGTTTTTAATCTCTCAGTACATCAGACCTGTTTTTAGATGTGTTGACACAGTACAGCCAGGATCCTCAGACCTGCAGGCTAGTGGACCTACACAGTAGCTGGTTGTAATCTGGGGCTGATCGGACCCGGTTGGGACCAGAGCCGGTTGGGACCAGAGCCGGTTGGGACCAGAGCCGGTTGGGACCAGAGCCGGTTGGGACCAGAGCCGGTTGGGACCAGAGCATGGGAGCGATAAGGATTGTAAAGTCTGAACTCTGTCCAACATGGTGAATCTTATGTTCTACCTTCAGGCCAACTGGAAAATGCACCAGGTAGAGATCCAGGTAGTCCAGCTGGAGATCTTTGAGACTCTTGTTGAAGCACCAGGTGATGTCCTCCGGGGCATGGAAGGTGCACCACAGCTGTGAAGACAGCAGACAGTGAAGAGCAGCACCGCTACAACACGTGAGAGACACTCAGCTGTTGTGTTTGCACCTTGCTGACGATGAACATGTCCTCTCGCCGGATGACGCCCTGCTTCATCTTGGAGTGCAGAGCCTTGCCGATGTCCACCTCGTTCCTGTAGCTGTGTGCAGTGTCTATGTGGCGGTATCCGGCGGCGATGGCGGCCTCCACGGCTCCTTGGATCGAGGTCGGCGGCAGATGGGCCGACTGCAGGAGGAAGCGTTATGACAGACGTCAGAGTTTGTCAGGACCGGGCGCCGGGAGGCGGTTAGCGTCTTCAGTCTGCAATTCATTGATGGCACGTTTGACTGAATGTCGGCCTCATGAGGCTTCTGGGAAATTATTGTTTGAAAAGTTCATGTTGATCTAGAGGAGGACAAATCATATCAACCAATCAGAGCCTTCCTGTGTTGGCTCGTGTCCCCGTTTTTTTCTAATTCTTCACCTCAGTGAAAACAACACGACCATGACTAGAAGACTAGACGACTAGACGACTAGAAGACGAGACGACTAGAAGACTAGACGACTAGAAGACTAGACGACTAGACGACTAGAAGGAGACAGAGCTCAGTGTGAGAGACACAGAGCATCATTAAAACAAAGCAAAACATTTTTTCATTTTACAATCATCCATCCATCATCTCTACACCTTCATCCTCACTATGGGGGGCGGAGCCTATCCCAGCTGACTCAGGGTGAAGGCAGGTTCACCTGGACAGGTAACCAGTCTATCACAGGGCTACACTTAGAGACAGACAACCAAGCACACTCACATTCACACCTACGGACAATTTACAATCACCAATTAACCTCAGCATGTTTGTGGACTGTGGGAGGAAGCCGGAGAACCCGGAGAGAACCCACGCTGCACGGGGAGAACATGGAGACTCCACGCAGGAAGATCCCGGGTGTCCTCACCGGGATGTGAACCGGCGACCTTCTAGCTAACGGTGCTAATGATGCTAACCACCGAGACACCTTGTTTCAAAGAACTGAAGATCAGCATTTGTTCTGGTGCCTCCAGGTTCTACACGATACCGACGTCCAGCTGTTCACATGTTCACACCCTCGTGTCTTCCTCTCTCTCTGATGAGCCACCAGGCCGGATGGACCTCCAGCTCTGGTTCTGAGCCCGCTGCACTTATTCGTCGATAAAATCTGCTTTACTTGGGCGTCCCTACAGCTCACCTAGTTGAGCGGGCGACCCATGAACAGGGGCTCTAGTCCCCGATGCAGCGGTTGTGGGTTCAAGTCCGGCTCACGACCCTTTGCTGCAGGTCCTTGTCCCCCTTTCCTGTCTCACTCTCACTATCCTGACTAATAAAGGCCAGAACAAAAAAAACTAAAATCTGCTTCACTCACAGTGTGTCGTGTTAGTTTCCAGACTCGTCTCCTCTGAAAGCTCAGAACTCTTTTATTTATGAAAAAAATAAAGTGTGAACGGTTTATTTTTATAAATGTTTGAATAGGATGTCGGTGAATTCTTACAGCTTATCCAGGACTCACTCCAGGACCTGTGGATCCTGAACAGCTGATGATAGAGTTTCTGATAAATGGTGACGTTGTGGAGAGTTCACCGTCAACAGGTTGTGCAGCTGCAGGCTCACGGTGAACAACTAAACCAGACTGAATACTGATGCAAGTACAGGTGACTCTACCTTCCACGTGCCCAGACCCAGGACTGGCATTCTCCTGCCGTCATTCAGCTCTATGGTCCGGGCCTCCTCAGCGTCCTCCATGAAGTCCATCTGACAACAAGAAGCTCAGTGGTACCGTCACAGCTTTCCTCTTCCTCTTCACCCTCACAGAGCTTCTGCTGAGTCAACGTCCTTCCTCTTTCTCTGCTGATCTGACTCTATCTCATGTGTTCCTCTCCCTCCCACGACCTTTCCCTCCACTGCTACCTGCCTTCTTTCTCCTCCCGCTTATCAGAAGTTAATTATTGGACAAAGTGCTTCAGCCACCATGAAGTATTTATGTGTAAACACTGGTGAGGAGGAGCGAGTTGCAAAGGTCACAGCTCTGAACACACTCAGATCACACAGAGCAGCTGTGATGTCCTCAGCCCGACAGCAGATGGCGATGTCGCTGTCTGCAGGAAACGGCTTCAAGCATCAGTCCACGATGAAAAGACTGGCAGCCCTCCAGTGGAAGAGTACAAACTGAAAACACTCAGCGTCGTCTGGGGCTGCACCACGAAGGCCACATGAAGACGTCCAGCTTGGTTCAGCCTCTACGGGAGAAGGTCCGGTCTGCTCAGTGTGACCCTCCACAGAGGGACACCTGAACCCACTCACCTGTTGAGTCTTCTGAAAACCAAAACCCACCGCTGTGTCTGAAACACACGTTCCCTTTAATGTGCATGTATACGGCGTCCACACTGACACATCGATCAGCCACAGACCTCCAGAAAGCCCGAACCAGCCGTCAGGGTTCCAGACGAACTGATCCTGTGTGACGCTTTTCTGTTGAACCAAACGTAACCTTAAAGTCGTGACATTTCATTATAGTCTCATTATTCTACGAGTCTCGTTTACAGCTGTGCCTGAAGGTAGCGCTTTGTACCAGAGTCTGGTTGCTAGCCGGCTGGTTGTTGTTGTTAGACCCGATTCTTTGGTTGGAAGCCCAAGAACAAGCCGCAGAAATCTTCAGTTCTCAGATGTAGAATTTATTTAGGTCACAGGTAAAGTTTTGCAGCGCTGGATTCAGAGGGACAGAGAGGAACCTCATGTCCAGCTGAACTTTTCGGTTCCAGGTTCCAGATATGTTCTTGGGCCGGGCCTGCCCCGGACATAGATAAGATTTAACTGGCCAGTTACTAATGGCGTGGACAGGCATCCTTCTGTGCTCTGTCCACGTCCTTGATATTTGGTGAGCAGTGTGTGTGGATGTTGTTGGTGCAGCGTGTAGCTAAAGCAACAATCTGATAGAACAGAGGAGCTTCTGCTGTCTCCAGGTGTGTGAACCGCTTCTCACCGGCCATGTTGTCTTCAAGGACGGATGCTGTTCTCAGTAGGAAAATACCAACAGAATCATAGGCTCAGTGCTAAATACAGACTCTGAACACATGATAGCTGGAACCATACTGAACCATGACATTGTCCTCATGAGTGTTCTGGTCAAAGCCAGCAGACACGTCACGTACAGGTCAGGTCACTGAACGCATTCAAATATGAAACATAATACGCATTTTAAACACTAACAAAGGACATTTCACAAAACATTTTCTTTCCAGTTCTCTACATTCTGACTACGGGACGGGCTGCAGGTATCTGAGTGGTTAGCACCGTTAGCACCGTTAGCACCGTTAGCACATTGTAAAGGCCGGTCTGTCCTCACTCCATAGGCACCCAGCAGGGCTGAACTGAGGCCTTATGATTGTCTGTGAAATAGTGTAGATGTATTTTGTCACTGGGGTCACAGGTATTGTTTATTGAGTCACATGTATGTTGGGGGCGTGGCTTTGCATGAACCTC